AAATTTTAAGAGGAGGCAAATGACTTTAAGGGCAAGTTAACTTATCTGAAATTATGTGGGGAAAGTACCAACATTCATTGGATGGTGTTAGTTTGTTCCATTGATTCAAATAGGTGATAAGAGGAATGCTTTTATTGCCTTTCTTTGACTTAACTTTTCTTTTTAATATTTACTCCAGTTTGATCAAGTTTGTATTGTGTGCAAAAGAAAATTCAATGTTACATTTTAGTTACAGTGTTTTAAGAATAGGACATACAAAAAAAAAAAGAGTAGGACATACAAAAACAAAGAATAGGACATACAAAAAATCAAAACATCTTTCATCTGAAGCTTTAACATGAATGCCAAGATTAGGGTGTTCTCTACGTAGCTGACAGGGTATTGGCATTTTTTTAATGTGAGGCATAACATAAGTTTAAATATTAATAGGTGCTATATTTATCATGGCCTATCAGGGATAATTTGATCCATTAAATTAGAAATTTTAAATAAGAATTTTAATCTTTTGTCTTAGTATCAAAAATTTTAAAGACATTTCACATGATACAGTAAGCTGTAAATTAATTCCCAGTATAATGAAATGCAGCTTTTACAACCAGCAAGATAAAGGATTATAATAAATCATTTTAGGAAGATCCACATGTACTTGGATCTTTATAATAGTGCTTATATTCACTGTTCTGTTGTTTATTGCTTGAGCCAGTCTTACCTAGTGGACAAAATTGATTGCCACATGAAGAGAAATGTTAATGTAGATACTGTCATTCATAGGTTAAAATTATATCACCTGTAAGCTATACATAGTAGATAAGTAGATACTATTGTATTGCTTTAAACTTTTATTTCATGAAAAAGGTTTACTAGTGTTTCTCAAGAACCAAAGCAGTGGATACTTGTTATTTTATTGTAGCATTTTGAAATAACTTTTGAGTCCTAAAAATCTGATCAAATAGTTACTAGGTTGGATTGTATTTAGTATTCTGATAACTTTAAAAAATTAAACTGAGATTCCACAGAAATGAAAGCTGTACTATAGCTAATCACAAGGTTTTTTGAACTCAGAACAAGGCATTTAGTCTAGATTATGTGAAATAGGTAAATTTAAATACAATTCTTATTTATTTATTTATTTATTTTTTGTTTTTTGAGGCAGGGTCTCCCTTTGTAGTTCAGGCTGGCCCTGAACTCACTATGTAGTCCAGGCTGGCTTCGAACTCGCAGTGATCCTCCTGCCTCAGCCCCCCAAGTGCTGGGATTACAGATGTGCATCACCACACCCGGTTACAATTTTTAAAGTTTGGTCTACTATTCATTTTCTTTCTTTCTTTTTTTTGAGACAGGGTGTTGCTATGTAGTTCAGGTGGGCCTTGAACTTACTATGTAGCCCATGCTGCTCTTGAACTCTTGATGATGCTCCTGCCTCAGCCTTCGGAATACTGGGCTTACAGGCGTGTACCTCTATGTCTGACTAGCTTCTGTTTTAATCAGAGATGTGTGATAGAGTAGAATTTAACTAATTCAGCAATCAGGAGATAGCTTCTAATGTAAACAAGCTCTGCAGTCTTGACATTTTATTATGTACACCTTCATCTTCAAGTTTGTATGGCTGATTTTTAAGTTTATAATCTCTTAGAGTCCCTCTTAGCTCTTAAATTGTTGGATATAAATGGTAAGTATCAAATTATCTTATATAGACTTTGTAATTTTTACATGGCAAATCATGTGTTATTTCTGTGGTGAAACTACTGGAATAATATAAGACCTGAGATAATAGTTAGTTGATTTTGTTACTGATTTTTAGGTATTCCAGAATAGTATTAAATAATATAAATACCTACAAAAAAGTAATTGGAGTGTGAGATTGGTTTTATTTTTTTGGTACCAGGGATTGAACTCTGGTCCTTGCACATGCACAGCAGGCAGTGAAACCACTGAGCTAAATCCCCGGCCCGTGAGATTGTTTTTAAACAGTGAAGATTTAGAATATTGCAATAAAAACAATTATTGATTTTTCTAATTTATTAAATATATCTAACGTAAAGTCAAGTGTATATTTTTGTAATGTTTGCAACTGGCCAAGATTATAAACAAGAGGATTTGTAGTTTGCATGTCTGATACACTCTATTGAATTCCCTTTAAGAAATTTCTATCCTTCAGAGATTTTAGCATTTTAGCAGCTACCGTCCCCTTCCAGATTGAATGCAAATTTTTCTTTTCATTTTTCTTAGTTTCATTAAGACATTGTCTTGCTGTGTAATTCAGGCTGGCCTTGAACTCACGCCAGCACAGGCTGGCCTACAACTGTTGGGATCCTCCTGCCTCAGCCTCCCCAGTGCTGGGATTACAGGCATGTCCCACCATGCCCAGCTAAATGTAAACTTTTATTTTCAAATTGCCTATGTCTAAAAGTAGTTGGCCTGTGTAATTCAAACTGAATTATATTTTGAATCTCATATTATCAATACAATATGGGCTTATATAACATTTAAGTATCATTAAAATCTGATAAATTGTGATTTATATTATATAATACTCAGTGGGTCTCTTATTTCAAAAAAATCTCCTTTACCTTTTGGAACTTAATTATTTGAAATTGAGTATTCCTATATAAGCAACTAAATCTTGAGTATGTACTGTGCAGTAGTCATAATTCTAATTTAGATTATCATGCTAGAGTTTTTTCTAACTAATGGTTTAAAAGCACAGTTTTCTTAGAAATGTTAATGACTGTCATGACATATAATCCCCCACTTTTGTACAAGGTTCCTTATATTTTACAGAGCTCTCAAATTTCCCTTTTTTTTCTTCTTCAGTACTGGGGATTGAGCCTAGGGCCTTTGCACTGAGCTTTGTCCCCAACTCTTTCATTTATTCCTTTTTTCTTTTCTTTTTTTTGTACCAGGGATCAAACCTGGGGACCTTGTGCTTGTGAAGCAGGTGGCAGAACCACTAATTTATTACTTTTTAAAAAAGGTTTTTGCTAAGTTGCTCAACTGACTGGGTTGGAACTCGGAACCCTCCTGCCTCAGTCTCCCAGAGTGGCATGGGCAGCTACACTTGGCTTAAAATTAAATTTTTAAAGTTCTAAAAGAATTTAAAAAATGAAGTGATTAAAGCTGTCTTTGCCTTTTATTGTTAAGTCAGCAATCAAAATGGTTGTTTACATTTTACCTGTAATTTTATTAAATCACAAATCATATTTTTGCAAAATACGTAGGATAGGTAGAAATGTAAGCAGACTCATTGATTTTCATAGTCTCTATAAGCTAAACTCTGTTTTCTCATTCCCAGTTTCAAAATGTGGCCAAATGCTATTCCAGACTTGGTCAGATTTGGGAAAGGAGAGGAGAGGGTACAGTAGATTGCTATTAGAAGTATTGTTGGTGGTGCAGAGTAAGGTCCAAGCCTTCTGTTTGGGCTGTGAGAACTGGTACTGGTGGATAACAGAAGCACGCCAGACCAGTGCTAGGGAGTTCCTGGACATTTCTTTTGTGTACCCTTTAATAGCTCAGCTGGTAGAGCGGCTGACTGCAGACCACACAGACATTTCTTTTACCCAGATTACTTACCTCAGTGCTGCCCTTCTACAGATTAAATCAATTTATTTTCCTTAGTTGGTTTAAGACTTATCTGTCCACCGTATCTCTTCCCTGTAAGGTCAGATTAAATTTGGAAGTTATAAAAAGTGTTTCTCGTAAGTTCCTTTATTTTTTAGCTGGGAAGATACTTCAGTACATATTGTCCAGGTAATTTTAAAGCAGATCTCTGTTTCCTGATGATGATTTGTCAAAATGGGTGAATAAATTTAGCTTTTGTAAGATAAACAGGGTCTTGTTCTTTAATCTGAAAGCTGGTCTTGACAAAAGCATTTTCATAGCTTAACATTAAGTTAAATCCTAAAGTTAAGCTGTGGTCTTTTGCCTTCTGAAAATTTATTCATCTGGAACTTTTAGACAGCAAAAACTTTGGTATTTTTACTTTTTTTTCCCCTAACCTAGCTAGTCTCACTCATGCTAGACAAGCACTCTACCACGGAGCTACATTCCCAACCCTCTTGCTATGCATTATCGTATTGTTGTAAATGTACTTAAGAGTAGTGACTAAAAAAAGTGTATGGATAGATTGAGGTGGTGTTTAAGATACAGAATACACTTTCTCATGTTTAGTGGGTATTTGAGTCCAGTGTATAGATTGAATAGGTGTATTACTAAAGTACTCATTTCAGAGAGCACTTGTATTACCTTAGTTGAATAGATCAGTACAATTAATAGTAGTTTTGTTTTTTTTGGTAACGGGGATCGAACTTGGGACCTTGTGCTTTTGAGGCAGGCGCCAGAACTACTGCGCTAAATCCCCGGCCCAATTAATAGTAGTTTTAAATGATGCACAGTGTTTCCTTTCAAGTACTTTACCTTAGCAATATTGATTATGTGATTAAATAAATGTTATGTTGATTATAGTGCATGGTAATGTGAGGTAATATGGTAATACTGAAGGAGTGACGTCTTAGGGGAGAATAAAAACTTCCTTTTAGGAGGCTTGAAACTGGATTAGATGAAAGACAGAACATGAAATAAAATTCTGTACTGTTAGAAGTGATGTTGGCTTTTTTTTTCACAAATGTGGTTGCTCATCACTTCTACCCAGGGAGCCCAAGTATTTATGCGCTTACTCCTTTGGAGTTCCTGGGGACAAAGACGTATCATTTTCTTAGTAACTTACTCTAGACGTGAGCCTCCTGCCCTGCCAAATTTAAGATCCTTTCAGGGCTTTTTGGTCTTTTCCTTTGTTCATATATTGTTCCTAAATACATCTCTTGGTCTGTTGAGTGATCCTTACAAGATGTTGAAATTTTAGCATAAATAATGGTATTTAATCTATTTTTTTGTTATTTCTTAGGCATAAAATTATATCCTTTTTGTCTTACACAGAAGTGCAAATCCTCATACTGATAATCTGAAGGGCCTGTACAGTGTAGCAGACCTTGGAAACAGTAAGTATTGCCCAATTTACACATTTTTGTAAATGTGCCTGGAAATTTTGAGTTGGAATTGTGAAAACGTAGAGGGAGTAGTAAAGCTTAGAACAGTACAGGGACATCAGCCTCCTTAGGTACGTGTGCAATCAAAGTTTACTTATTAATTTACTTTGTCTATTTCTGTTTGCTTCACTTAAACTCAGGCAGAATTAAAATGCAAACAAACCCACACTAAGGCATGCTTCTAACATTCTTTAGATCTGGGTGTTGGAAACTTTCCCCCTTGTTTTTACAAGTAAACTTTTTTTTTTGGAGTACACCTGTATTCTGTGATACAGATGCTTTGTGGTTGCCTTCCCACCACAGTTTGAGGAGTTGAGAGTAGTTGTAGCAAAAGCCTAAATATACATAGCCTAAAAAATATACTATCTGGTTCCTGACCCTTTGTTCTAGATCTACCCTAACTTATGAACCATACCATAGCTACAGAGAACTCAGAAGCCGTTGGGTTCTCTTTTGGTAATAAAACATTTTTTGTTTTTGGGGAGGTTTTCTTGAACTGGGAACCGAACTCAGGGCCTTGCTCTTGCCAGGCAGGCACTGTTCTGAGCTATATTCCCGGCATAAAATGTATTTAAAAATTTTTTTCAATGTTAAAATTACCTCTAATTAAGTAATTCAGAACTTTCATACACTTAGAGGTCCAGCGCAGAGGTCTTTAGCCCAGTTGACCCTGACATGGTTGGATATTAGGAGAGGCTTTAACTGCAACTACTGTGTAGTAGCTTCTCTAATCCAAACCTGAGAAACGATGGGAGAGTCAGGTGGGAAGGTTGTTTATAAACTAATTCGGTGGAATTCGCAAAAGGATTTTATTATCGACAGAACTTTTTTTGGTAATTGCTTATGAGATGATTCTTAAGAGTGTCTCTTTTTGAAACATTTGGAAATCTACATTCTAAGTTATTATTTTTCTCTACTTTAGTTTCGGTTGTATAAATGGCTTCTAGGGCCTGCAAAACAGAAGTTCTTTTGCTTCTTGGTGAGGGAGAGTGAGTAGAACTGAAAACTTGCCTAATGTAGTTCAGATAATAGTCTCCTGTCTGATCATATTTAAAAGAGGTTAATTGCTTAGCACATAGTAGATGCTCAAGAAATACTTGATGATTTATTGTATAAATATTGCTTCTTTTAACAGAGTTTACCAACTAGTGTTTTGGGTTTAATAAAGAGTAAAGATGCAAGTTTTAATGTGTTAAATATTAATATTATGTCTGAAGGTCTAAATTTTTTTCAGTAAAAATTTAATATGACAAGATCTTGCAATCTTTTGTATTCTCCTTCCCTTTCTGGCAAATCTCAGTCTGTGTAGTCAAGTTTGAAACCAATAGGGACAGTTGGGAGGATTTGATTTAGTTTGTAAATCCTTAGAAAAGATGATTCCTTTTCTTGGTTAACATAATTAACCTTGGGTCGGGGATTTAGCTCAGTGGTTTCGCCACCTGCTGCACAAGCGCAAGGACCCAAGTTCGATCCCCGGTACCAAAAAAAAAAAAAAGAAACCTAAGTTAATTATGTTTGTCTTTTTTTGGTACCGGGGATCGAACTTGGGTCCTTGTGCTTGCGCAGCAGGTGGCGAAACCACTGAGCTAAATCCCCGACCCAAAGACAAACATAATTAACCTTGTGTTCTTGGTGGTGAATAACTGGCTGGTCTTTTTCAAATCATTTTATAGTTAGTTTTTATGTCTGTGCTATTTAAGACTCAAACCTGTTGACATATATTCTATTGATGATTGACACTTTTTTTTTTTTGTACTGGGGCTCGAACTCGGGACCTTGTGCTTGTGTGGCAGGCGCCAGAACCACTGAGCTAAATCCCCTGCCCTGATTCACACTTTTTTAAAGACAATTATGTTAGTTTACTTTTCAGGGATGTCTTACATAAATATTTTTCAGATATAAAGACAAATGTTCAAAAAGAACATTGAAATCAACTCATAATTACCAAGAATCTTAATTACATGATGGGAAGAATGAATTTTCATTCTAGAGTGTTTTCCATCTCCCCCTTGGTTTTAAAATAAGCTAAGTTTTAAAATAATACAAATTACATTAATACTAGCCTTTTTTTTTTTTTTTTTGAGCCAACCATTTAAAAATTTAAGAATTGTTTCTTTGCTTGTGCTCCTCTCTGCCCCTCACATTTTTCTTTGCTATTAAAAATGGGAAAGTTTGCTGAGAGACGTAAGATGATTTTAGAGGAGCATATCTTCAACCCAATCTAGATGATGAAGCAGTTGCCTACATTTCAATTTACAGTGTATTTTGTAATGTCCCAGTGTTTTTGGAACAACTTTAATGAAGTACAATTTGAAGAAAAGACTCCCATGCTTAATTTTATGTTCTTAGGAATGTGTGCAGGGTTTGGAGATTGGAGGAGATAGCAGTCACTCATTACCTTGTTACCATTGAAACTTTTACCTTTGGTATGGGATTGTTCTTAGAACAAGAGTATATTGGGCTGGGGATTTAGCCCAGTGGTTCTGTCGCCTGCCTCACAAGCGCAAGGACCCGAGTTCAATCTCTGGTACCAAAATAAAAAAAGAGTATATTACTTAGAAAGTATAAACTACTGAGTATCAAAGTGGGAAAGTTCTAACCATGTTATGAGCTTGAACCTCGTGTAAAACATGAAATCTAGATCTGTTTGGCTTTTGGGATTGTAGATCAAAGCATCATTTCATCTATTAAATATGTCTTCAGTAATGCACAAGAAGGAAGTAGAATAAAGACTTTGATATTTACGATCTACCCAATCTTTTGGGTATCCTACTCTTTCTTTTGGGGTTTTTTTTTTTTTTTTGGTAGAATGGTTTCAATGCAATACTACGTTTATTAAATTGGAAAGTGTTTACTAAATAACTGACCCTGTGACTCCATGTGTTCTTCAAAGACAGCCTTACTATTGAAATTTACATCAGTTTTGATTCAGTAAGGGTTAGTGTGAGTCCCAGGCACTTTGGTCATTGTGGTATTGGAAGGATAGTCAGCATTTGTTGAGATCTTTCCATATGCCTGCTTAATACAAGCATTATGACCATACTCATTTAATGCTCTCTGCTGCCACAGGAGGTAGGTACTACGATTTTGTTTCACAGATGAAGAACTGTGGATGTTAGCAAGAAAATTTCCAGGCTCACAGAATTCATTCCCTTTTTTTTAAACAAAACTTTGCTTATTTGCAAATTTAGTTTTGATAAGAATTTGGAACTCCATGAATGCAAGTGGATTACTCCTAAATCCCTCACTGATCCTGACTGAGCACTTTTGCTTGTTAGGAGAATTTTTACCCTTGGCTTTGGATTGGCCTTGTGGGAGTCCAGAGTGACCCTGGCTTATCAGCATCCTAAGAGTCATCTGCTTTTTCTTGTAGCATTATTTTTCTATCCTATTAAAAACTATCTTAAGGGCTGGGGATTTAGCTCTGTGGTTCTGGCACCTGCCTCGCTAGTGCAAGGTCCGGAGTTTGATCCCCGGTACCAAAAAACCCCCCAAAAACCCAAAACTATCTTAAATATATGACAGCGTTGACAGATTTGGTCTTTTCTCAGCTATTGTGACACACCAGTGCATTTTTTTGAATAATTTTGGAATGATTCTAATATTATGAATTTTTTTTTGAAATAATGATTTTAGAAGGAAATTTCATATAATGTTCTAGGTCAGTGATGGCACATCTTTCAGAGCATTCAGTGATCCATTGTGACACATGTGCCATAGCTTTGCCTCCACTATGATGGGTAAAAAGTTTATCTTTTCTCTTATAGCAGACTATAAAGCACTGATGTATCATTTCATATGCCAAATTACACTTGTAGCTACCAAAGTGACTAAGTTGGTTATTAATGCATTCCTGTTGTCATTGTTTATCAAAATTATTTACACCAATTTCATTTAAAGGGCAATCCTGCATTGTAACAATAGAGATTGAGAATTTGGATTATAAGTGACAGTATTTTTAAAAAATACCATAATTTCTTTTAAGAAATGAACCAGGCCCAATGGAAGATATTTTACTGATAGAGGAAATCAGTGAGTTATTTAGTTCTCGTGTTAAGACTGGGGAGAAATTTGCAAAATCTATTAAGAAATATCATGCTTTTGATGTTCATTGATAATTGTGACACTCCTTTTCAGTTAGCGCTGTTTAATAGGGGTACAGCAGTATCTTTGGGTAACCAAATAGTTTATTAAGTAGATTTTTGTGTTGTATGTGCTAGACAATATGTGTTGATTACAATCAAGGAGACAAATTAACGTAAAAGCCAAAATACCCTTATATTTACATTTATCTCCAAGTTAGTCACTTTGACTATATCTCTACAAACTGAATTGGAGAGTCACAAAATTCATCTAGAGAAGACCAGGGTTAAAAGTTGTTTTGCAATTATGTTTGATCATGTTGAATCCAGATTGTTATTTACTTAGAGAGGTAAATCACCTGGCTTCAAACTTTGCCCTTCAATGTAGATTATTGAAAAAGATTTATTTTTTCTTTGAGGTATATGTGAAATTTGGGCAATGAGATTATTTCAGTTGTATGTAATTTCAAAAGCGGTAGCATTTTATTTTATTTTATTTTTTGGTACCGGGGACTGAACTCGGGTCCTTGGCGCTTGCAAGGCAGGCAGCATAACCACTAAGCTAAATCCCTGACCCCAGTGGTAGCATTTTATAGTAAATACCAAATAAGGCAGGCAGATATTTTGGGTTTTTCATAATTTTTTCCCTCTGGAGGTTCCATATTTTCTGCACTTCTCAGATAATACAACTAAAGGTGATGTCATCTGTACTGTGTAGGCCTTTGGGTTAGCTGGTCAGAATGAACATATTAGATGAGAAAAGTATGCTATGATCCAGTGCTTTGTTTTCTAAAAATCCTTTAAGATTCTTTCCTATATTTAGTTTTCTTTGAGCTTGAAAACTTTCTTGTATTGAGATTAAGAAACCACAGTGTTTCTGTAATTAAGCTTTCCAGGAATTTTTAATTTTAAGTTTTGTTTTTGCTTTGCATATGTGTGATTTAAAGATGCTAGAGTTAAATATTAAAAATTGACTCTTCACTGCCCCTTTTTTATGGATACGAATGTATCTGACAAGAAAACTTTGTTCCTTTTATGCAGATTTTGATTGGATCTTTGAGAGTTTGTAAATGTGTCTGCATTGCAAGCTTTAATATAGTTGAAAGCTGTTATAGGATAAAAGTTTGGTGTATGGTAGAAGATCTTCAAGGTGGGTGGATGTTCTCTGTTTGAAGGCATAAGATTATTGGCATTCCAACAGCATTTTTTTCTTTTAATTTTTTTTTTTTATCAAGAACCCAGTCAGCTTGAAGAGTCTCAAAAGGACCCTACCAGTGAGAAATCAAGATGGCAGTCCACTATGGGGAATTGAGGAAAATGGATTAATACAAGAGTGCTGTGATAAAATACCACCAAGACAGGGTTCTTTTAACATGGATTCAGTGAAATGAATGAAACCTATCTTAACCAACAAATGGACAGTGGATTTGACTTTGTAAAGACTTGTATCATTTAAACTAGTTTATTTTTGACATTTGGAGAAGATGGCACGTTAACACAGATGGTAGCGTGGATACCTGAATTTTTTTTTTTTTTTTTGCATATTTTGATTTGTTTGAATATGACCTCATGGAATGTTAACTTTAATAAAATTTCTAACATTTAAAAAAATTTCAGTTTGGGCCTTGTTCTTTTTCAAGTGGAAGTTTCATTAAATATTCAATTATCACCTTAATAACAATTTGGTTCTTACAGTTGCCCAGCAGTATATTCAGTAAAACTGGTAACATGGAAATGATGTGGTGGAATATGTTTTACTTGCTTGATAAAGATTTGTATTTTCTCACAAAGCTATGGGAATTTATCTGTGCTTTGGCATGGCTATTAGTTAAAACATGATTTTTTTCAGGTTTGTTTGAAGTTTTGAATGCATTTCCTTAAATTTCTCTTTGTATTTTCTTGAAACACCTTGCAAATCAGCTTAATCAGTGGGTAGTAATAGTTTTTAATTTAGCATGAGATTTAATGATCTTTTAAAGCAATATGTTTTGTTGCCGTCAAACTCAGGGTGATAATAGCATTTCTCTGAATTATTTTGAGTTGATGGAAATGTTCTCCTTTACTTATGCTTTTTAATGTTATAAATAAAATATTTTGCAATAGAATATTCATTTGAATATTTAGACATGTCTTTTGTTAATGTTGGGGGAAGAATGTTGGATTTATAGGGAAATGTCATTAGGGTATATATAAACTGGCTTAAATCTTTGGTGGGAATGATGGCTATAATGTATTGTATTTACATTTGAAATAGGATTTGTAGCTTGTATTTTCCTTACTGGGAATTTAGAATAATTGAATTACACAGTGCATGCCATGGATTACTACCTATGTTTGAATTTCAATTGCTACACTTTCATTTCTTGCTGATCAACTAATACCATTTTCAGTAGCTATAGTATATTAAAGATGATAGGCTTTATTTTGATAGACCAGATGAATCAATTGATTAATATTTTCCCATTTTATTGAGAACAAAGAATAGTTCAGCTTAGTTTATTCTTACTTTGTTAGAGATAATCATACTGTGTGATAAATGAAATACACTACTATAGTGTGCACATCCATGGTCAACATATGTGTGGTAGTTTTTGTTACTGACTGATGTTTTGTGGTTGATCTTTATAAATTTAAAAGAGGAATTTTGGAGTTTGATTTGATAGAAAAGTTATCTATATGGAATTTAAACAGTTTTGATTTTATATTCACTAGATTCATCATCTTTGGTTTTGTTGGTTGCAAATCTATAATGGATTGCCTTAGCACGGGAATGACACATTTTTGACAGATTATAATGCGGAGTAAGGAAAGTTGACTGGATTTTAGGGCATGTGAATGAATCTCCATTGGTCTGCATGGGTGCTTGATGAGGACTTTTGAGTAATTGTTTTTGGCTTTATACTTTTTTTGTTTCTGTAGATCTTGAGGTCTTGATCTTTGGGAGAATTTTCCCTGTGACATTACTTTGATAATTTACCATCAGATATGACTTATTGCTAATGATATGTCATTGATGAAATGACTATATAGAGTTTGATTTGAAACATGAGGGAAGGGTTGGGATATGTGTTCTGTTGGTTTTAGAGGTTGAGTTTCTTGACTTTCTGATTTAAAGGTTACTACGGTTGGACTATATGCTTTAGTTCAAAGACCTTTGTTTTGCCTAAATCCGTGTGGAAAGTAAATATAGTATGATTATGAGATCATTTTGGTGGTTTAAGTTTCCAAGGTTACATAATGGGTTAAAGAATTTTGTAAAAGTGAAAAGAAATACTGAGTTTCTTGAAAAAATGGGTTATGTTAACTTTTGCCCTAATGCAACTGAACACTAGGGAGGCGCTCTTGAGTTGTAAAAATTTCCCTTTTCTTCCCATTGGGATGGAAGATTCCCCCCTAAACTTTGTCTTTAGATGATTTTTAGGCAACATAAAGAAAGCAAGCCTTCAATTTACTTTATGAAACAGGTTTTGCTTTTATTTAGAAACTACTTTGCCCATGGGGGGGCTAATTTTTTTAAAGGTTAGTATTTAATCGGGGCTTTAGATTTTCTAAGAATTATCCCTATTTCAAAATGGCTTGATAAAACACTACTTCCTGTCCAGGGAGGAAGTTATTTTAGCTCAAGGACTGAAATATTTAGCAGATCTTTAGACAAAAGGAACAAATTACATTTCTCTCTGGCTTAAAAAGGGTGCTTGAGCCAGAGGGGGTTAAGAAGCCCTTCCCCCTCCCTCTGATGGGGTGGTCTGGAGGGGCAGGGAGGTATGGGGGTGGGGGTCTTTAGGCTCCCTGGGATGGAGGATCTCTTTTTCTTTCTTTTTTTTTTTGGTGGAGATGAAGGGGTGGGTCTATGGTACATCACCTGAGTTGTGGGGTAAATGTAGAGAGTGTCAATCAAAGGCAGAGCTCTCAGAGCTGGGAAGGAGGCTCTAGATGGCGGCTGTGCCTTAGAGAGAGCGCGCTCTGCTCCCTGCCTTCGCCTCACTTTACGCAACTTTCCCTAACTTTCGGGCAGCCTCAGGGGGCCCCCGTAGCCCCCTGCCTCTCCTAGTGACTTACTGGGGTCGATTTGAACCTTTTTAAGGGAGAGAAGCAGCTTTTAGGAGCTTTCTTTTCGTGCCTTGTTGGAAAGAAGCAGCCGTACTGAGAGCCCAGGTCGTTGTTTTTTCCAGCTTAGAAGCCATGGCGCACCTCCATTTTTGTGCGCTCTCTTAATGAGGTTTTTTTTACCCGTCGGGACCCGTTTTAGCATTAATTATTGCTTTATTTTTTGACCAGTTAACATATTTGAGGATTATTTTATTTATTTTTCGTTTTTACCGGAGGATTTTGCCTTTATTTTTAATTATTCTGGATCTGATATTCTGCTACTAGCTAGGACTCTTGCTTTGGACATACTACATGGATCAGGTAAGTTCACGATCATTAGTGATAATTTCAAAGATTTATATGTTAACGTTTGCTTTATTTTTTTAAAATATGAGAAATTCCTGGATGACGCAATAAGATACAGATATTGTTATTTGTGTCCACTGTGTTACTTTGAGAAACTTTCCTTATTGATAGTGATGCTGCCACTGTTTGGTTTATCCTTTTTTTTTGTAATAGAAATATTTTGTTTTGCTGCTTTCCGTTGTTGCATTATATTAATTAATATCCTTAACATCGTCAGGACTTTGTTCTTGATACTAAAAATCATCCTTAGAAGCCGGGACCTTACCTTTCTTTCAACTTTTGACAGTAAATACCTGGGCACAGGACTTCAAAGCAAACAGATTCCCCCTCCCCCTTAATATTTAAGAATTAAAAGATGATGAGAAATAAGGACAAAAGCCAAGAGGAGGACAGTTCGCTACACAGCAATGTATCGAGGTATGAGCTATCAACTTTCTTCCTTTTTGTCTTTTTTTGGGGGAAACCTCAGCCTACAGTTGTGTACCTTGACAGACATAGATTGCTGTCTGTGTTATTATAAGTATTTTTCTAATTTGGGTTCGTTTTTAAAAGCATGACCTTGAGATTGCTAATATGCCACACCCTAATTTTTTGGTAGCAATTTATGAAAGTTGAGCTGTTACTTAAGGCCTCTTACAGCAGTCAAAAGGTAAGGTACCTTTATTCAGAGGGGCCTTTCCTATGAACTACAGTTTTTCTGTCAGTAAATTTCAGATTTTAGGTTTTTGTGCTGCAGAAAAATGACCTTGTCGGTTTAGCCATTGCTGCATTGCACCATTTTACATACAAGGCAAATTTTTTCTTTGAAGAATCTCAGACATCCAAACTTGTAACTGAGGGCCATAGAGGAGCCTTGTAGTAGTAAATTATAGTAAATAGACATTTCAGAAAGTTATATGAATGAAAAAATGTACATTTAAAAATGAAATCGCAAAAAAGACCCTTTGACTGATGCCTCTCAGTTTATATTTTTATTGACTCCTTTTCTTTTGATACACTTGACATTTTAGGAAATTTTGATGATTTATCAAAATCTTTACTTGGTTACTGTTCATGAATTTATGAAATCAAAGCTGTAATCACAGAAATCCTGGAAAGCTGTTAATACACTTCTGCTTTGTGTTTTTTACTGTGATTATAAGTGTATATTTTACATTTTAAAATATTTTAAGGTTTGTATTTGTATGCTTATATTGAGATGGTACTTTGTGAATGGCAGCTGTAGTATTTTATCTTCACATTTAGTTGTTGTTCCTTTAAATTTATTGATTTATTTCGACAGAGTCCCCTGGAATGCTTTATCTTCTGAAGCTTACAAATGTACTTTGTTCAAGTCATGATATGTTTCACATTCCTTGGAGTAGTTTATTAGTGACTTAAGTAATAAAGCCTCTAAGATATTTTTGTTGTATGATTTCTGTATCTTAATCTTGAAAGTATGTAAATGCATTTCTTGATGTGTTCTTGTTATAAATCTTAATAAGCATGTGGTTGGTTATGTGATATTTCTTCAGTTTTGATTTTTTAATATTTTATGAAAATATTTGTTAGGCTAATGAATCTGGAAGTTTTGAGTGTAGTTTATTACAAGTGTTGAATTTTGTTTTTGACTAATTTTTTGAGCCTTGCTTTTAAAAATACACTTTCAAGTTCCATTGCAAATTGAGTTGTCAAACAATTTGGGTGTTTTCTGAATTGAATTGCCCAATGTTTACTAGGTTATATATACGACAAAAAACTTCTGTAAATCCTAAACTGATTTTTCTGGAAAGTAACAACAATTTCAAGAAACAGAAAACTCCAGATATATTTCACAAATTATTAAAGATTTAATATTAAAATCATTACTCCTTTGAGTATATGATTTGCATAGTCTCACAAGGGGTTTTGGCTTTCTTATGCGAGGCTTGTGGTTAACTTCATTTTTCAGACCGTGCTCTAACTTAATAGAGCAGTGCTGCTATGTTTTTAGTCTTTTTACTGTTTTAGAAAACTTGAAAGTTGTCATGAATTTGACTACTCACAGTGGAGTGAGTACAGCTGAACAAGAAGCATGTTTTTAATGCCTTTTTGCCAAGTATACTTTGAGTCATATACCTGATGAATGTCCAGGCATACTTGAGACTCCTTGAAGATGGAGTTACTTTTAAATTACTCTCACTCTGAAGTTGCTACATTGTTAATACATGTACATAATTATGACATCACTTCCTTTTAAGATTGTAAAACCTAAAGGATGTTAGTGTTTTAATGTAGTCGATTGTTAACTTCTAGTGAGCTGAAATTGAGGGCTCACACTGTATCAGGTGCTTGGTTTCTGTGTCATCAGTTTTTCTGTATGGATCTAAGTTTTAATGGCACAAAGTGTAGTGTTTAGGGAATACTAAAAATCACCTTGCAGCCTGAGCCTTGCTTTTAAAAAAGGAGTTTGTAGGTCAGGTAAACTTTGGTCTGAGGAGTATTGTAGGAAATACAGTGATGAAAGTTTTAAGAAAAATGCTTTCACGTTTTTGACCTAGTGCTATACTTAAAAGTGGTTATGTAAGTTTGTATTCTTTAGACGTTAATACTCGTCTAATGTTGTTTGTGTATCAGTTAACTATTTTAATATTAAAGTTTACTTTCAAAAGTGATTTTAAAAATTGGGTATTTCTAAATAAAACATTTTTAGTGGACAGCTACATATTATGTCTATATTTGCAGTTTGGTCATAACTTCAGGAATATCAGAGAATGGCAACTAGGGAGAAGCAAATGTGCATGGAACTGTGTACCCGGAGTTCTGTGTTCTAGAACACTGTGCTTGCAATTTAAACAGTTTAATTCATCTCCAAATTGCCTTTGAGCTAGATTTGATAACCTGAGGTGTGGGTAGAGTCCCACGCCTTTCCTGAGCCTTTTAGCCGTTATTCTCAAAGGCTGAAGAGGAGAAGTGGCTTAATGCTGTATTTGTGGATTGGCTCGGGCAGTGTAAGTGGCAGCCATTTTATGACGCTGATAATACTTTAAAAATCGGGAATTTTGAGGAGACTGAAAATAAACGAAACCTGAAATACCAAAACAGTTTTACTCTCCCTCGCTCTTTTTTTCGTGCTGTGGGTCAGAAATAAAGGGCAGTTCGATAGTCAGCACAGACAACAACTCCGTGAGCCCCTGGCATCTTGGTGCACGTCCAGCTCAGTCACAAAATGGCTGTTCCTTTGTGCCGCAGCGCTGACAGACATACTGCATTGCACTGTGTACTCGCCAAACAGCAGGAAGTTGCCGTGCGGAGTTCAAAGGCCGGCCGGCGCCGGCGCAGGCTGCTGATTGGCTGCGCGTGCGCATGGTAACAGCCGGGTCAACAGCGGCGCCTTCAGGCCTTGCCCGCCCAGTGACGTCAGTCGCTACGCCGCGGGGCGGGGGAAACGCAGTGACGCAAGGTCGTGTGCGTGCGCGCGTTGGACTCGTTGGGACTGGAGGGAGGAGCTCTCTGGGGTTTTCCGGAGGGCGCTGTTTTGCTGGATGCCGTGGTTGGCAGTACTCTGCTCTTCCTGCAGCGTCCACACCCTACAGGCTGATTTTCCTTTGCTCATTCCTGGGAATAGTTTTCTTTTCAGTACCGGCGTTACTTTTGGAGAGAAAAGGCACGAATCGGAAATTCTCGAGTAGAAAGCCTGCCAGTTTTAAAAGCAGTTTTCGCTTTCCCTTCTCATACCCAGTGGGTTTTTCTTTTTCACTGTTCACTTCCTTGGTCTGTATGAAGAGATTAGTGAGTTTAATTTTTTTACTGTTGATCAAAGTGGTTCCAGTGGGAGGGGCTTACTTTGTTATGAACGTCTTTCTGGGTGTTAATAACCCATGGCTCGTAGAGCAGGGCGAGCTTATTTGAACCTGACCCTGTTTTTTCTCTTTTACGTGGTACCTTACATTTTCTCACTTGCCAGTTGATGGAGAAACTCAGGTCAGTATGTGCTTAGTGCCTAATGTGTAAGATTCTCTCGGTGTAAAAAAAGGTTCACAGTGGAACAGTTGAGTGGAAAAGAGCAATCTCCAGCTGTTCAGTAACTAAAAGGTGACAACAGAGCGTTAGGCGTCCATTCCAATGCAAACTGATGTCAGCAGACAGTTTTGAAGGTTAAATGGCCCTCGCTGGAGACCGAGTGGCCCCCGGAGCCTTGGCGGAGTGGGGAGTGGATCCCGTGGCTGAGTCAGGGGAACTTCGGCGCCGCCACCTGACCCCGCCCGCTGTGCGGGTGCCGCCTCACTGGGAGACTCTGGCCGGGTTCTAGGTTTTAAGAGTCATAGTTTACCAACGATGCCTTCGTAATTAAGCCACAAATCACGAATTTAAGGACAAAGGAAAGCCTCTGGATCTCTGTGCTGGTTACTGGCAATTGTTTTCTTGCTTGGTTCGAGAATGTTTTAGCTGTAACCTAACCAAGCTGTAGTGTAATAGGCCCTAGTTCACACTTAAGCTATTAGTAAAAGTTGAGTAAAATATCTTTAAAAGATGTGGACTTGGGCTGGGGATTTAGCTCAGTGGCTTCGCCGCCTGCCTTGCAAGCTCAAGGACCCGAGTTCGATCCCTGGTGCCAAAAAAAACCCCCAAAAAGGTGGACTTTTTGAATGTAGGCAGAGATGCTTTCTTGGACATATCTCAAATTTCTGAGTGAGTGTGTGAAAGGTAGTAGTCACTGTAATAGTGGGTTTTGTTAATTCTCACAATATAGGTTCACTGAGAAAATTTTTGGAAAATTTTGCAGAGTAGCTGAAAAGCTAGAGTTTCACTTTGTTACAGGCAAGTTTTACACCGAAGATTAAGTGATCTAAAAAAAAAAACTATGCTTAAATGTATATTCTGTATGAATTATGTAACATCCATTGAGACTTGCATTTTAAAACTTTGATGACTATTAATCGTGCTTTCTAACATTTTAGAGTTATTTTCCAGGGTTTCTAATCCTTTCTGTGTCT